GCCGCAAGGTCAGCAGTTCGAAACTACCAGCTGTTCCACAGGAGAAAGATGAGGCTTTCTGCTCCCACAAAGATTTCCAGCCTCGGAAAACCTGTAAAGGGTCGCTGTGAGTCGGGACCGACTCCACGGCACATAACAACAACAGTATATATCATGGAGTCCTGGTGGGGCACTGTGGGCTAATGCATCAGACTGCAAAGTTGTTTAAACTGCAAGGTCAGTGGTTCAAGCTCACCAGCTGCTCCTTGGAAACCCTATACAGGGTGGCTATGGGTCGGAATCGACTCGACACTGTGGAACTAACCAAGCAGCAAACAAATGTGACAATAATAGTACTAACCTAACAGTAACTTAAGAACTAACCCACAATCACAATGGAATTTGAAAACCAGGATCAATGAGAACAAAGCCTGCGGGAATCTCTACTGCAAGCCGGCCTGGACGGGGGCTCTGGAAGGAAGCAGAATGCTGAGTGGCAGGTAAATATTTTGGAAACTTTAGCAAACTCTGATAAGGATGCAAATTTTAGGAATTTGTAACACCTCCAACAGCATACCAGTTGTTAGGTTCTATGGAGTGTCAGGTCACAACGTGGAGTCAGTTCAGACTCATAGCAACCCTACACACAACAGAAGGAAACAGTTCCCGATGCTACCCCATCGTCACACTTGTTCTGTCTGAGCCCACTGCTGCTGCCACTGTGTCAATCCGTCTCACTGGGGTCGTTCTCTTGTTCACTGCCCTTCTCAGGAACTGTTCCCTCCTAACAATATTTCCAAAGTATGAGAGAAGTCTTACCATCCTCACTTCTAAGACGTATTCTGATTGCACTTCTTCCAAGACTGACTTGGCTGTTCTTCTGGCAGTCTGTGATGCTCTTCTCCAACACCACAAGTCACAAGCATTGATTCTTCCCTGGTCTTCCAGCCTTCACAGGCATATGAGGTGAGTGAAAACACTATGACCTGGGTCAGGCGCACCATCTTCCTCAACCTGATCATCTTTGCCCCTGTAACACCTTAAAGAGGTCTTTCGCATCAGATCTGCCCATGGCAATACCTCTTTGATTTCTTGACTGCTGCTTCCAAGAGTGTTATTTATGGACCGAAGCAAAGTGAAGTCTTTAACAACTTCAATCCTTTCTCCATTTATCATGTTATTTTTTGGCCCAGTGGTGAGGATTACTGAAAAGCTGAGGTCTTTGATCCTCATCAGTATTTTACGTCCTCTTCACTTCCAGCCAACAGGGTTGTGTCATCAGCGGATGTCCAGTTTGTAATCATCTGTTCACAAAATAACAGTCTATGAAACTGTCCACCAAGCTCAGAAAGAGCAAGGGCTGGGTTTGTATTTTGGGAGGAGTCCGTGGCCAGCTGACAGAACTGGTCTGTACTATTCCTCGTGCAGTGCAAGAGGCCCCCTTGGGACTTAGCCACAGAGAGCTAGAGTTGAGAAGGAAGTGTCCAGCTGATATGAAGTGAGGAGAGACACACAAGAACACCCAAATCTAGCTTTGATGGCTTGATGATCAGAACTCCAATAGAGGAAGATAAAGAAATTTGATACAGGAAACAAGTATAAATTACTACAATTTGATGAACTTGACCTATACTTATGGATGTAGTAGCTCAAAATAACAGCTGAGAGGGAAGGAGTCTTCAAATCAAGGATCAAACCTATCCCCTCTAGACACAGGGTTGATAGGGGCAGGCAGTTCAGACAACTGGCTAAGAAAAATGGGGTGGAGGAGGGGCTATAAAAACATGAAGTGACTGGCTTACAAGTTTTCAAGAGGGAATTTAGTTTCAGAGTGTATGGGGGAAGGCAGAATTCCCACTGAACAGTTTTCATCTTGTCTAGACGGGTCTAGTGAAAGGAGATGGGGATAAGATTCTTATGATTCAATAGTGAGTAACTGTTATCATGACTAATTGTGACTGTCACAATAACCGTAAAGGTAGAAGGAGGGAGGAGTTAATCTTACTTTCCAGAACAGAGGACCCTAGGACCATCAAGGGAGAAGAGCACAAGCGGAATGTGGGACCCTATCCAGAGAAGCAATGAGCTCTAGTAGTGTAGTGGTTACGCATCGGGCTGCTAACCAAGCAGTTAAGGTCAGCAGTTCAAAACTACCAGCTGCTCTACGGGAGAAAGATGAGGCTTTCTGCACACATAAAGATTTACAGCCTTGGAAACCCTGTACAGGGTCGCTGTGAGTCGGAACTGACTCCACGGCAAATCACCACTACCAACAACAACAACCATCCAGAGAAGCAACGACACCAGAGATGGAGGCAGAGATGAGGACACAAGAGAGATTGTGCAGCTGATGATGCTAGACTCATGGAAAGAGAAAGGCTATGTGCTGGTGGCCAGGAGACAGGCTTGCAGAATGTGCCCTTGGGTTGTTTAAATGATTATATATTCATGAGTGTTTCTGTGTAATCAAAAAAAAAAAAACCCACAAACAACAGAGGGAACAGAAGCAAATACTGTTGAATGATGACGCGTGGAGGGAATTGTCATCATTGCAATGAAACAAACTATGATAGGATGAATGCAAAACCAAAACCAATGTTCTCCCATGTAAACTATCACTCAATTCAAAATGAAAGCTTTAAAAAAAAAAGAAGGCCCCCTTGGCCCACTAACGGCCACCTCCAACACAGAGTGACTGCAGCCTGGCCGCCTCTAATCGTCGTAACAGAACATAAGTCACACTCGGGTAATTCACTGGCTGAAGCCAGCCCCACAGATAGGGTTTGTCTTATCCAGATTCATTCCATTGTGTAAAAATTGGAAGAATTCACATTTAAAAAAAGAAAGGATGTTTTCTAGGGAAGGGAAACCCCTTCAGGGTCCGACCAGAGGAGAGACTTCATGGACTCTGTAAGATGTCAAACTCTCAAATCCTTAACTAACACTGGTACCTGTTGATTTTCTTTTTAAAACAATTTGCCAAAGTCAGATACGGCAAATTCCCTTCCCTGACTCATTTCTAAATTACAATCTCACTAGTTACTCAGACTCACAGAGTTAGTCTTTCCCTTATAAGAAAAGGTTACTGTTCACAAATTCAACAAATGAAAAAGTCAAAATATATCCAATAAAATTCTTTGAATAGTTTGAACACGGGTTTAGGATAGCAGAGGGAACCACATCTAAAAAAAAAAAGTCTTTCAAACAGAATGAAAACAGTGATTAAATAGAGCTGCTTTAAAATAAATTTCTCTCACGTATACATGACAACCACAAATTTTGGAAAATATAATTAGTACTGAAGATGTGTGTGTGCTGTGGTGTGTCCTCAGTTCCAACTCATCAAAGCCCTGTAGGAAGAGGTGAACTGCCCCATGGGTGTCCTAGATTGCCATCTTCACAAGGAGTCCTGGCATGGTGCTGCGGGTTAATGCACTGCACTGCAAAGGTCGGCGGTTCAAGCTCACCAACCACTCCTCAGAAACCCTAATAGGGTCACATGCGTCAGAACCGACTCCATGGCACTCAACAACAACAACCATCTTTAGAAGAGTTGATCACCTGGTCTTTTTCCTGTGGAGTCATGGGTGTGTTTGAACCAGCAATATTTAACAGTCCAACGCTTAGCTATTGTGACACCAAGGCTCCTTAAAGACAGGCTTTACACAGTCTCCACCAGTGACCACTTAATTTACTCTTTAAGCAACTTTTGGATGAAAGACATCTTCCTAACCTTTTTTTCAAAAATAAGCCAAATCAATAAATGAAGCATTGGTTATTAGTGAGTGACCGACTAGAATTAGCAAGTGTACTTGTGAAGCTATTTGTCAGTCACTAGTAACCAATGTGTCAGTTACACAGAGTCCTGGTGTGGTGCTATAAAACAAGCACAGGATTGCTAACCACAAAGTTAGCGGTTCAAATCCTCCCGTTACTCCTTGGAAACCTATACGGGGTCACTATGACTCAACAGCACTTGACGACGACAACAGCAATCTTACACAAGCTCAATATCACACACTAAAAAATAATCATCTTCTACAAACACACACATAAACCCAATCCAAACCCACAGCCATCAAGTTAATTCTGACAGGACAGAAGAAGTGCTTGAAGGCAGTAAAACTTTACAGAAGCAGACTGCCACATGGTTCTTCCTCGGAGCAGCGGCTAGGTTTGAACCCATAGTGGTAGAAGGGTCCTAACACGCCTAGCACAAAGCACATCATATTATACCACCACGAGCCTCCCCTTTTTACACCACTGAATGCTCAAATACAGGCCACCTTGAAGGAGAAAATGAAGCGGAAGAGGACAGACTGGAGCGTACACACTCTTTTGCTTTGAAGACCAGGACCTGCACACTCAGCACAGGTTGCTTTCTCTTTTCCGACCTGCTGCTTGTGTGAGCCCACTCCAGTGGGACCGTCTAAAGCCTGACCCTAAACCCCAGCCCACCAAGCCGAGCTCCACTACTGAAGAAAATCCGTCTGCAAGTTACACCAACATGAAACCGCATCAAAGGTGGGAAGATCCACTCCAGCCGATGAGGAAACTCACTGTCACTTTAAAATAACTTTCCATTTATATGTTACTAATGCAACATTTTCCAATAATCTTGTTTCCTAACACCCTGGAAACATTAGACGTGTCCCAACTTTTTTCTTTTTTTTTTTGGGGGGGGGGGAGTAGACTAACCACAAGGGTGCAAGTACTGTTTCTATCCCGTCATCCTTCCTCTACGTCTGAACAGTACAAAGAGCATTCAAACACTTGCATGGCAGGATGTCCAACTCGGCTTCACTTTTATTATCTGAATTAGAACTCGGTTTGCATTGAATTAGAGCTAGCCAATGAAGCATTATACCACAGCCTTTCCCACCTTCAGTGTTTCACAAGTGGAGTCTGACATGCTTGCTGCCCCGCACCACGTGGGGAGAAGAGGGGGTGGGGGCAGGCTCCCGCTGCGAGCTTTCCTGGGGAGCAACCCGAGGATCGGGGTGCCCTTGGAATCCACTTACCCGGTCCTTCATCCGCCAGCTCTGGGCTAAGGATTTGGAGCCTTCGATTTTCTCACAGTGCCTCTTTTTCATAAAAGCCAAAGGCAGGTTCCAGTCGGTGAGGTCGGCCTCCTCGTCCTCCCCGAGTCCCAGCAGAGGCGCCTGCAGCATCTCGGCCTCCATCAGCGGGGGAGGGGGCGGAGGGGTCCTGGGCAGCAAGCGCTCCAGAACCTCCAGCCTTAAAGCGGAGCGTGCACCAGCTGTGGTGAAATCAGTAGTCCCCAAAAAACGGGGTGGGGAGCAGGGAGTGGGTGGGCGCGTGCGGAGACCCCCCCACTCGGGCACAAAGGCTTCCAGCCCTAGCTCGGACCCTGTGCGGGAAGTCGGAGGGGGTGGGGAGAGCCGGGGGAGGAGGGGGCCAGGAAGCTCTGCACACCCCCGGATCCTAAGCCACTGGCTGCTTCTGGGGCAGGACGTTCTCTAAGGAGCTGCGAGCCAAGCTGTCAAAAGCGTGAGCGACCTAAGGCCTCACGATGACCCTGCTCTCGGCCGCCGACGCGTCAGATCCGTGGATAGGCCGGCACCCGCTCGTGGAGTCGGCTCTCCGACTAGGCTGAGGTCTCCGGCCGAGGCGAAGAGGTTCAGGGCGCCTCGGGTCTCCTCTAGCCACTCTCAGCCTTGCGGGTCCGGCACTCGCCTAAGCTGCTGCAACCAGCGCCAGGATCGGCCCATCGTGTCGCCCGCGGCCGGTTCCTCACCCCCGGGTCCGCGCGGCCTGGCTGGCCCTGCCCCTCGGTTCCGTGACAATGTCCTGCCTGAGAACAAGTCCTGAGAAACGGACGACACGGTCTCGCGAAGAAAACGAGTAATGTGGGTTTATTGGATTTGGAGCGTTTTGCCCTCTGGTTAGGAGCTACAGTGAAACTCCTCTCATCAGCACATCAAGGAGGACGCCATATTGCTAGCACCCAGAATGCATCGCGAACTACGATGTAACCAACAGACCAAACTTGTTCAGAGCGTTCTCGCCGTGGTCTTTGGATACCGCGAAGAAAGAGGATGCACGCCCCCGTTACCTAGGTTACCACGTCGGCTTCCCCTGGTTTATCTCCTGCCGTTCTATAGATAAGCGAGGTTAAAATCAGTTCTAAAATGACACCACGCTAATTTAATTAATTTTAAAGGTATTATTACAACTGGAACTACATGCTTCAGAAATTAAAGGAATCGACCACTTTATTGTGTCTTCCAGATTTTATTTTGAAAAGGCAACAAAAGCCGCAAAAACGTTAACAACTTTTTGCACGTTGAATCGTCCATAACATGGAGCACATTTTGTTTTGCTTTTTTTGGGGAAAATCAACCAAGTAACTTCGTGTACTCCAGTTTTTTATTGTAACGATCTTGTTTCTGTGCAATTTATTCTTATTTTAATATACCTTCATTTGCAAACCACTGGACTTCTGGTGTGACGCTGTAGGATCAGCACTGGACTGGGAACAAAGGTTGGGGGTTCAAACCCACCAGCTGCTCCTTAGATTGCTCACAGGATTGCTGTGACTCAGAACCAACTCGACGGCGCTTAACAACAAAAGCTATATAGATCTCTATGCGTTGAGGCAAGCATTCTGCATTCGATTCAGTAAATGTTCATTTACAAGGCAGGGAAACTATTGGGCACAGCCTGGAACATAAATCCAAGGGCAACAAGCAGGCAGTCCCTGCCTTCAATAGACTTACTGTCTGTTGTTGTTGTTAAGTGCCATCGAGTCGGTTCCGACCCATAGCGACCCTGTATAGGGTTTCCGAGGAGCAGCTGGTGAGCTTGAACCGCCGACCTTGCAGTTAGTTCAAACAGCTTTGCAGTCTGGCGCATTAACCCACAGCGCCACACCAGGACTCCTGACTTACTGTCTAGTGAGACACATATATAACCACTGGGTTAAGCAGAGCAGGAGGCAGTCTGGTGTAGTCCAAGAGGCTTCATCTTCATCTCTGCATTTTGGTTTGGAACCAGTCACATCTGGATTTGAATTCTCTCCAGCCTGCATCACTTTCCATATGTGTGACTGTGGTCCATATCTTACATAGCTGAGTCTTTGTTTCCTCAAACCCACTCTAAAAGACAAATTTTAACTCATGGAAGTGCCTCAAATGTTAGCAATGATCACACCACATAGCTAGATTGAAATCTAGTAGCCCTATGTGCTTTGTTTATCTAAAACCTCAGATTTGGTTCTTGAATGTGGCTTCCCAGGGCTTTGACACAATTTAACAGTCAACATCAAAATCCTGAAGGCATGTCATGTTCCTTTCAACAGTGAAAGCACACATGAGAGCGAATAGTTGGATTTCAGCTCCTTTTCACCCAGCACACAGCAAGCATTTAATAAAAATTCTCAGATTAAAGCATTACTAGTCCAGACACTCGTTTGATTATTACATCCCACTGAGTCCAATTCTCCCATTAAGCCTCTGGGAAATTTCACCAACACACAGAAGGAGGCTAAAGGCTTCCTGAAGGCTACAAAGTAACTTGCCCTGCTTTGTCACACTCACCCACCCACCCACCTACCCACTGGTCTACAGGCAACTCCACTGTGGCCACTACTGCAGACAAATGTCAGCATTAAATCTGTTCGCTCCAACTAGCTCCAGGACCCAGGTAAGGTCACATCATCTCTCTCTGTTATGACTCAGTTTCCTCCCCTGGAAAAACGTGTGCCCTGGGGTAATCCACTTATCTGATACTCTACTTATCTTATCTGATACTCTAAACGAGGACTGTAGAGAGCCCATGGCATCCAAACACAACAAGTTCTAGGAGTCACTTGGGAAACCAGTTTAAACATAAAGGTGTGAGTTCCACCCTGCATCTACTAAATCTGGGGAGAGGGAGAAAGGTAGGCAAAGGATCTGCATTTTTTTCATCAAGTAGTAGTAACCCTGATGGTAATTTAAATTCAGTCAGATTTGGTGATATTTGCTCTAGCTTGAACTGTGTCTTCAAAAAGATGCACTGAACCATGGGTCTCAGGAGACACCAACTGTGTATTTTGGCACAACATAGTCCACAAAGACAATGTTCTACATTCTACTTTGGTGAGTAGTGACTGGGGTCTTAAAAGTTTGTGCGCAGTCATCTAAGATAACAACTGTTGATCTAGTCACAGAAATCTCAGCCTCCACCACCCTGAGACAAGAAGAGATAGATGGTCCCCAGCTACAACGACCAACTGCTCTTGAAGGGATCACATTAGAAGGCCCTGGAAAGAGTGGGAGGAAAATGGGGAATTACAAAACTCAAAATCATTTTTTTCAAAAAAAGACTGAGTTTATTGTCCAGGTTGAGACAGGTAGAACCCCCAAGACAATGGCCCTAAATCACCCTTCTGTTCTGGGACTGAATGCAACCACATGACTCATTTTTCAGCTAAATAATACACTGGTCTGTGAGGTAAACAGTAACCCTAGGAAGATACACACTCCTTAGAAGAATTGACCATTTGAGATCAAAAGGGCAGCATTTACCCAAAGAGAAAGTTCTGGACGCAGGAAGGATTAGGAAAGAAGGACGGATGGAAACAGGAAACACAGAGGAAGGGGGTATGCAATGTCACACTGTGGGGACTACAGTCAAAGACAAGAAACAAAACGTGTATGAATTGTTGAACGGAAAACTGGTTTGCTCGGTAAACTTTCCCCCAGTTCACAAGAGTAAGTTTATGTGTGTGAGTTTTTTCACTGAAGTCCTAACCCCCAGGTACCTATGCATGTGATCTTACTTGCAAATGGAGTCTTGGAGGATGTTATCAAGTTTAGATGACATTACACTCAACTAGGATGGGCTCTAATCCAAATGGACTAGTGTCTTTATAAGAAGAGAGGTAGAAACAGACACACAGGGGAGACAGCCATGGGATGATAGAGGCAGAGGTTCAAGAGATGTGTTTACAAACCAAGGAAGACCAAGGATTGCTAGCAGCCTCCAGATGCCAGGAAGAGCCTTCAGAGGGAGAACAGGTATGTTGGCATCTTAATTTAGGACTTCTAAGAGCACAGTTATGGTGTTGGAGGAGAACATTGAAAGTGTCATGGGCTGCTAAGAGAACCAATAGATCCGTTTTGGAAAAAGTGCAGCCAGAGTGCTCCTTGGAGGCTAAGATGGCCAAACTTCGTCTCTCCTACTTTGGACATATTGTCAGGAGGGAGCAGTCGCTGGAGAAGGATATCATGTTTGGTAAGGTGGAGGGTCAGAGAGAAAGAGGAAGACCCCCAATGAGATGGATTGGCCAAGTGGCAGCATCGATGGACTCAAGCGTGGCAACAGTAGTGAGGTTGGCCCAGGATCGGGCAGTGTTTCGTTCTGTTGTGCATAAGGTCGCTATGGGTCAGTACTGAGTCGATGGCACCTAACAACACCAACAAGAGCACAGCGGCTCCATACCATAAACACTGGATTGAAAACCACAAGACTCGCAGTTCTAGCCTGTCAGCTGCTCCACAGGAGAAAGATGAGGCTTTCTGCTCCCACAAAGATCTAAAGCCTCAGAAACCCTATGTTGTTATGTGCTGTGGAGTCGGTTCTGACTCATAGTGACCCTGTACAGGGTTTTTGAGGTTATAAATCTTATGGGAGCAGAAAGCCTCATCTTTCTCCCTCAGAACAGCTGGGAGTTTCAAACTGCTGTCCCTGAGGTTTACGGCCCGATTCGTAACCACTATGCTACCAGAGTTCCTTCAGAAACCCTATACAGGGGCATTATAAGTCAGAACAACTCAACGGCACTGAACACCAACGAGAGTCTTCATGGCTCTAGACTGCTAACTACAAGGTCAGTGGTTCAAGCCCACCAACTGCTACACTAGAGGATGATGAAGCTGTCTGCTCCTGTAAAGACTGACAGTCTCGGAAACATCGGGTCTCTTTGGGTCAGAATCAGCTCGATGGCAGTGAGTTTGCTTTGCTCTGGTAGCTCATGGAAATGTGAAAAAACAAATTTCTGTTGCTTTTGTTGTTGTTGTTGTTGTTAAGTGCCGTCGAGTCGGAGCCGACCCATAGCGACCCTGTACAGGGTTTCTGTGTTGCTTTTAGCCTCCCTATTTGTGGTGTGACCTCCCTAGGATGTGCATAAGGTCCCCTCCAATGATGTCGATCTGGGCACATGTTGGGCCCTAATTAAATATTTGTGCCACATAAATATGATGAAACAATGACCCCATTTTCCATCTAGCAAAGCAGAACAGACAAGACCCCCCAAACTGGGCAAAACCCACCCTCTAGTGCTTTATAAGGACTCCCGGGGTGGTGCTGAAGGGTCAGCACTAAACTGTGAACCACAAGGCAGACAGTTCAAACTCAACAGCTACTCCTCAGAAACCCTACACGGCATTGCTGAATCACAACAGACTCAATGGCACTTAACAACAACCACTATTTTACAAATGTGCTACCAGAACCAAGAAGTCATTCCGAGTGTGGACCCTGGACTGAGGTCCTCAGACCACCACTAGTCCTGCAGACATTTGCAAAGGTCTGCTCTTCACTGCCCTCATCTCTGCATCTGTGCCAAGAGGCACGTGAATAAAGTGATCTCAAAGGACCCTTGAGGTTCAAATTCTGTGATTCATGAAAAAAAAAAAAAAGAAGACCACAGAGGCCGGTGAGAACCCAGCCTTCAACCCACCGGTTCAAGAAGGGCTTGCATCACTTTTTAGCATCATGACATTTAGAGGAAACTCGTCCCGATGTGTCATGCCCAGACAGTCACTCCAGGCTTTTGGAAGGCAGTGAGCACCGATGACTAATGGCAGGCTCGAAATTCAAGGGCTGATATTTCTCACCTGGGCGATCCCATTACCACGGACTGCAATTGCTTGGCCTCCTGGGCCTGCAGTTCTGATTTCCAATGTCTCCAATTCTTCATAAGCAAGGACATCTCGTGTTGTCCACAAAGAAATAGGATATTTTCATCTTGAAA